GGGGGACCGCGCTCTAGGGGTAACCCCCCAGCGTTGTCCCCCTGGGGAGAGGTAGGCCACTGCCCTTGGGAACCTGTGTGGGGCAACTGTGAGGTAGCCCCTAAACTTTCCCATGTTGCCGCCCACCAGCCCTTTGGTGAGATGACACCTCAAATCCCCCTGAAGGAGGGAGAGTTGAAAGGAAGGGGGTCCCCCTTTTTTTCCTCCCCTGACCCTTTTGGGGGTGGGCAACGTGCTCCCAGTGTTCCGTTCGGGGAGGACCCCTAGCCCTGGGCCACTAGGTTTCGGTTCCCCTTTGGGCCCTGGAGGGGGTTGAGGTCTGAAATTCTGGTTCCTCCCCAGGGGAAGGCCTTTGTAACCCAGGACATCCCCCTCTAGTATCCTTCTTCCAATTGGGGGGGGGGGGGGGCGGGGGGGCGGCGGGGGAAGCTGGGAGACTCTCCTTCCACTTAATTTCACCGATAGGATGACAAGTCGAATTGGTGGGCAGTGGCTGCCCAGAGAACTCCGAGGTGGTCTTCATGTTGGGCAGGCAAATGAAATCGACTAACGATGCCCTCGCCAGTTCAGCCCGCAGACTGAAGGGTCCCTGGTTCCATTACGGGCATGTACCTCGGTTGCAGGTTCCCTGGCCTTGGTTGGGGTGCGTGCAGGAGGCAACCAATCGATGTGGCTCTCTCACATCGATATTTCTCTCTGACTCTCCCTCTCCCTTCCAACAAAACAAAACAAAACAAACCCACAAAACAACAACAACAAAAGAAACTGACCAATGAGGACTGACTGCTACACACACAGGAATGGAGAGGAGGGCCCTTCACTTCTTGGGACCCTCATTTCCTCACGCGTACATGGGGGTCGCTGCCTTGTTCCGCCACCACCCACCTTAACTCTCCAGCCACAACCTGGAGATGAAACACCTGCCTGGGGCCGACCCTGAGCTCGTGCTGCTGGGCCACCGCCACGAGGAGCTGGAGGTGAGGCCTGGGGAGGCGATGGGCGTGGAGGAGGCGGGGCGAAAGCCGGGCGGGGCGCGCTGACCCAGTCCCTCCACCGCAGCGCATCCCACTGAGCGACATGACCCGCGAGGAGATCAACGCGCTGGTGCAGGAGCTCGGCTTCTACCGCAAGGCGTCGCCCGACGAGCCTGTGCCCCCTGAGTACCTGCGGGCGCCCGCGAGGCCCGCCGAAGGCGATCCGGACCGTGGGGACCTGTAGGTCGGGGAAT